AGATAATCGTAGAAATAAGGCTTCACTTATTCCCAGGATGTTGACTATAAGGATGAAAAACTATCCATATACATAATAGGATTTGGAGACTGGATAAATAAAATTATGTGTATAATCAGATACTTTAAGAACTTTTACTGATGTGCGAGTGTCTCATGATGTATCAAGTGAAAAAGATAAGCTTACGGAAAGCCTGTCCCTGTAATCTCGTTTTTATAGCATAAATTTTAAAGCAAGTTTGCATTTAAAACCAGAAGCACATCCATCGAAATATCGAGGTTTATCATCTGAGAATGGTGGGAGGAGGGGTGATTGCTCTTTCCGTTTCTGCCCGCCCTTCTCTCTGTCTTCCAAATGTCTTACAATGGACACGGCATGCATTTAGTACAACCAGAAGACTCTGTTAACTAGCCCTTGGGGGCACGAAGGACAGACGGCCTCTGTTCTGGGAGGACATAGTGACAGTGACCCCAGGGCCCTGTCAGCTCTGACCCGCTCGGGTCTACGACCTGCCCACAGATGTGGGTGGCCCCTACTGCCCCATGTCCCCCAGCCACTCCTGGCTGCACATATGGATGTGGTTCCAGCTGCACTGGCCAGCAGACAGGATCCCTGCCACGGTCCCTCGCTGCATTTTCACTTGCTCTCCTTACCCCTTAGGAACTGATGAGACTCTGGCACAATGCAAACAATCCTTCCTGCTCCCAAAGTTTACTAAGCTTCAAACAAAACAAACAAGGCCTCCAAGACCCCCCCCCCAAAAAAAAACCCCAACCCTCAGACCAAAATCCAACAGTAAAAACATCTGGTCCTACAGCTAACCATTCCCACAGTTTTGTTTCTTTTCAAATGCTTAAGTTTATGTTAGTCCTCTCCTTCCATCCTTTGCGTGGGCTCTGGGGATCGAACTCTGATTGCCAGGTTTGCACAGCAAGTGCCTTTACCTGCTGAGACATCTCACTGGCCCTTCTTTTTCATTAAAAAAAGGTTATTTATTTATATTTATTTATTTTTGAGAGAAGGTTTCATGTAGCCCAGTCTGGCCTCAAATTTACTACGTGGCTGAGGATGACCTTGAACTCCCGATCCTCCTGCCTCCGCCTCCTGAGTGTGGGGACTACAGGTATACACCTACATGCCTACTTAGGTATTGGATCCAGGGCTTTGTGCATGCTAGGCAAGCACTCTACCAACTGAGGCATATCCTCAGCTTGCAAGTTTTATTTTGGAGGGCTGGGGAGATGGATCAGTAAGTGTAGTGCTTGCTTGGCAAGTATGAGGACCTGAGTTTGGATCCCCAACACCCATATAAAAGCAAGGCATGGTGGCATTTACTGTAACCCCAGCACTGGGGGTCTGGGATTGGCGAGGAGACAAGCAAATCCCTGAAGCTTGCTGACACATGAACACACACACACACACACACACACACACACACACACTTTATTTTGGGATGGCACTGTAGCTCGGTGGTACAGCAATTTCCTATCATGCATGAAACCTTGGGTTCAACCCCAAGCATAACACAAAAATTATTTTTCATGGACAAGCTTTTGTGATATCCCAATACATTTGTAGAATGCTTAAGAGATTGGGAACCCATCATAAACCTGTCATTCCTTCTCTTGAGAAAAGACAGCGGTGTGGTGGGGGGCTGCATGTGGAGGGGACTCTGTGGATACCATCACATTTAATCCTCTGGCTCAGCAGATGTGATCTCTCCAGGTTTTAAAAAGAGGTCAAACACTGCCTGGGTCTGTCTGTACAATGGAGCGCAGATTTGGATGTGGGCTTGACCCACAGACAGCCCGTGGTGCTTCTGCTGAGGGGGAGCCTTGTAGGCAGCCATAGGACTATGCAGCTACTGGGATGACCCCATGTGAACAGCTGGTAAGCTAAAGGCCTGGCTGAGGTTCTTCCATTCTCCATAAGCCAAGGGATTGTAATTTAACTCAAAACATACAGGCAAAAGTAGTCTGTGGAAGTCTATCCCTCTCTGAACAAGACTGCTTCTCTCCTGTTACCCCACCCCCAGCACCCCCATAGGTCTTAGCAAAGGGACAGCCCATGTGGCAGGGCTAGAATCAGGTACTTGGGGGCATATAGCTGGGTTAACAGGCTTGCTCCTGGAGCTGGTGACAGGAACATCCAACCCAGCAGCGGACCTGCTCAGTCGGTAAAGTGTAGAAACAGGAGTCTGTGTACCAGCTGGCAGAGGCTGGTCATGGGCTGTGATATCAGAGTCCCCTCACTCCCCATTGGATCCCGCTTGCCTGGGTCTCCTGGTAACCCCAGGAGCTGTTTCAAGAACCTAGGTCTACAAACAGAAAGTAGAAATGGCTGGCTGCTGGGCCCTCACTGGCCTTTCAGGAAGCCACCTGAAGCTGCTTCAGGCCATAGGGACACTGGGGCCCTCTGTATTTATCCTTATGCTCTCCAATCCCAGCATTCACAGATCTCTTTCTGTGGGCCAGGCTTGAAGCCAAACATATCACATGCTAAACCTCACATTTAATTCCATCAGTCCCTTTAGTGGCCCGGCACCAGATGACACTGGTTTGCTGTGACCTGTGTGTTATGGGTGTTCTTTTGGGACCTCAGATCAATGGAACCCCAGCTCCCTGATGGGCTCAAACCTGTGGCTGAACCCCACAGGCAGCCTCCTTCCTGACTGTTAGCAACAGAGCATCTTGCCACCATCTATCCTGTCCCAAACTTGGGAGGAAAGCAGGGATGGCACTGAGAGAAGAGGCCCTTGCAGGGGCAGACCTCCCTGGCAGCTGCTTAGAACAGGCCTCTGCCCTTCATCCAGGCAAAAACAATGTCCATCAGCAGTCAATTGCTCTGACACAGCCAGAGAAACAGGCTCCTGGGTTACTGTCTGCTCAGAGAAAACACTGCTCACTGTCCTTTGGACCTTGCATATAGAGAGGGGCCTGGCTGTCAATGGTTTGACTTCTGATTTTTCAACTTCACGATGGTACGAAAGCCATGCGTTGGCAGGAACTGGACTTGGAATTTGGGATGCAGTTCTGCCAGGGCAGCTTAAGCATTGTGTGGAAGATACTCTGACACAGCTATTGGGGATAGAGAGCCACAGCTCCTTATCACCCCAAGAGCATCATGGGGGACCAGGGAGGCTGTGCAGTGCTTTGTGCTAAGCCAGGATAGCTGGGAGGGTAGATGGACTGGGTGCATTTTTACACAGGATATTTTTAATTGACAGTAGGGTTAGTGGGATGTGACCTCATAAACAGAGGGGATATGTATAGCTTAAAGAGGAGGGTGAGTTTTCCAAGTCCCCTAGTACTCAGTTTTTTTTTTTTTTTTTTTTGAGACAAGTTTTCCTTGTAGCCCCAGCTGGATTGGAACTCACTACATAGGCTGGCCTCAATCTCACAGAGATTCACCTGCCTCTGCCTCCCGAGTGCTGGGATCAAAGGCATGTGCGACCATACCCAGTGACTTGGTGGTTTTTGTTAAAATTCTGGTCCTCCCAAGCTAATAAGCCCCAAATGAGGAAATATCCCAGCAAAACCTGTGGTTGCCCAAGACCCTGGTTGTCACGTACAGGAGTTGGAGTGGGGGCCAGACTCTTCCCTAGTCAGAAAGAGGTGCTGGGGATAGGGTAGGCTCTGATCCTAGTGTGCTCCGTGGGATGAAGGTGTGTCTTGGTTGCCCTTCACATCTCATTCCCATTTCCCTCGGAGCCACATTATTCCAGCTGAGGGGTCAGGCTGCCTGCTGCCTTGACCACCCAGGAGACCCCCAAAGGGGCCAGAGCCCAGCACAGGGTTGCTTTGGGCATGAGGTAAATGTGCCCCAAAGGTCCTACCAAGACATTCATGGTCCCTTTCATGTTTTATGCAGGAGACCTCCATCGCCCCATTCACAGAGCAGAAAGTAGAAGCTCAGAGAGGGTGAGTGCCTTCCCTGAGGTCACCCAGCTGTGAGGCTTTGGGGCTGGAATTTAAGCCCAGCCCTCTCTTAGGCTCAAAGCTGGACTGTTTTCCTTGAAGACTGCAATGCCTGTCATCTTGTCTTATACTCAGGATCAGGGAACTCCTGGGTTTCGAGTGTTCTAGCTGTTTCCCGAGCCTCCTGGGAGGCATCTCCTGCAGGACTGGGGACCATGTCACCACTGCTAGTCAGTCTGGACTCTAGACAGTGCTGGTCATCAGAGATTGCTGAACAAATCAACATTTCCCTCCCTGCACCCTCCTGCCTGGAGGCACAGAGTAAACCAGTCCCTGTATGTGGCAGACCCCTTAGGTTCTTTGCACAGGCAGTCTCCTTCCTTCCTTCCCTCCCTCCCTCCCTCCCTCCCTTCCTCCCTCCCTCCCTTCATTTTTTTTGGGGGGTTGAGTCCTGCTCTGTAGTCAGGCTGGCCTCAAACTCATGACAGACCCCTTGCCTCAGCCATGTGTCACCACACCTGGCTTTGCCCCTGCTTGTTCTAGCACACTGGTACTTCTGGAAGCTACTGTCGTCATCCTTAACCGTTTCAGAGGCAGGGCCCAGATGGCAGCAGGGCCACTTCTCCCCGTGTTCCTGGCATGATACTTGTTTGGCCTGGGAAGGACCTCTCCCCCAAACATAAGCTAACTTTTGGCTTAACTATGAAAGACTTGTGAGGTGCTCATACCATAAAGGCCAAACTAGAATAGGGCAGTTCCCTGATCCTGAGCGCTGCGATGAGCCCAGCCGCTAGGAAGGTACATCCCAGCCAGGACCAGACCACAGTTTGGCAGCTATGCTGGGTTGGAAGGAGAGCTACCCTCTGGAAGCCTCTTTGCATTTCCTGTGGGGCATCCCTGGAAATCTTCAAGGTCAAGGTCTGCCCACAGCTCACGCTGATCCCACCACAGAAAGAGTACAACTTCTGAGGAGTGGGGGGAGAGGAGAAGGCAGAGCGAGGCGGTTCAGTCAATGTTCAGAAGGAGAGTTTTGGATTAAGAGGAAAGGCCAGAGAGAGAACAAAAAAATAAATGACAAATTACCGGGTAGCCATCTCGTCCTGATTGGCCCTGTGGTAATTAATATGCCATTAATAATCAGCGCTTCAGCAGAAAACCATATGGCAATGCTTAGAACCCAGTTGCGCCACGTTCCCACCCCCCCCTTTCCCTGCTGTGCTCATCGTGGTTTGCAGTGTACTCACTGCTGGCTTGGTAGCTGGCTAGTTCAGGGCAGCTGCAAGGGTTAGAGCCTCTGGGGCACAGAGCCCTCTTTCCCTGTCTCAGAGGGCCAGGCTAGAGGGGCTGTGGGCTTTCGTCAGGGCCACGAGGGCACATGTGAATGTACGGTACGCTATGCTAGCCATGGAATAAGATACAACACGTGGGGTTGGAAGGGTATGTCACAGCCACTGAGACCAGATGAGGAACTGAAAATGTCCCTTCAATGGGCACCACAGAAGGATCCCAGTTCATCCTTGTTTCCCCTGGGATAGGTTGAACTGAGAAAGCAAGCCCCAGAAGCTGGAGATACGTGGATCTGTATGCCTATCGCCTGTTTCTCTGTCCCTCAGCTCAGGTCAGACCTGCTCAGAGAAGTGGCACCCAAGACACGGCCTGACACATACGCAGTCACCTCTCTCTCAGACCCCTGGCAGTGGTGGCTTAAGAATTCCTACATTTGCTTAACCCATTTAATTAATCCTCAGCCCTCTATGGCTCTCATTTCAGCGAGTTTGCACAAGCTGCCTCCAAGGGGCTGCTGGGAAGTAGCACTTGTGGCCAATAATCTACACATTTTTCTTGGCTTGCTTTTTTTTGGCTCCAGGTGGTGGTACATGCACCAAGAAGCCCAGATTTTGAAGGGCGCTGACCGGGGGAAATGAATCTTGCTAAGGACAAGTCAGTAATAAATGGCTCATCTGAAAGGAATTCCTTTGGAAGGTTAATTTTGGCTCCAGTTAACTGTCAATGTGCTTCTTGAATGGACTCATTGGGGTTTATCAGGGTCTGAAAACTGTCAAGAGGAATTAAAGGCAGATGCATCCATGCCCAGGAGAACACAGGATTCCCAACCAAAGCAGCCTCTGTCTGATCAAGGTAAACTCAGGGAGCCCCTCTGACCTTTCTTCACACCCTTCCCTTCTGACGCTACCTCAACACCTCTGCCAGCCAGCGAGGCTCACAGGGTCCCAGCTGGGAGTAAGGTGTGCTGGCTAAGAGGAAAATGAAGGCCAGGATCAGGTGTTGGAGCCCAACTTTATCTTGGAACTACTGTCTAACTCCTTTAGCCAAAGCACATGAGATTAAAAAAAAAAAGCATTTAGAAATCTCAACAGCCACAGAGCACTTTGGAAGCACTTGCATTTTTGTGCATTAAGTTGAGCCAAAGATTTGGAGAGGACCTGCCAGGCTCATGTTAGCTCTCTTGAAAGGAAGCTGATCTAGAATGTTCCAGTAGGTAAGTCGAGCTCAGGGAATTCTGTCCTTGTGTTCATTTGCTGCTTAAAAAAATAATACAGCCTCTGTCTGGGATGGATACTTTTTTTTCTTGTTTGTTTTTGAGACATGTAGCCCAGGCTGGCCTCCAACACCTGATCCTCCTGCCTCCACTTCCCAAGTACAGGGATTACAGGATTACACCACCATACTGGATTTTATGTGGTCTTGGGGATCAAACTTAAGACCTTGTACATATGAGGCAATAACACTACCAATTGAGCTATATCCCTGGCTTTTTTTTAACAAAAAATTAATTTCATAGAAGTGCTACACAGAGAGAATCAAATAAATGCCTTATCTTTCAGGAGCACAGAGTCCGGGACACTTACTGGAGGACCTGCAAGACACAAGCAGAAGAGCCACCATCAACATCAAAGGCACAGAGGGTCCCCTCCCAGTCCTTGGCACAGCTCTGGCCACTCCCCACCCCCATCAACTCAAGGCATCTATGGAGTCACAGTACTGCCCATAATGGCCATGCAAACAAGGGTCAGCCACAAAGCCAAGAAGAGGAACCTTTGTCCTTGGAGGACCTGGATTACGACAGCCCCAAGAGTATTGGGTTCAAGAGTTCATTTCATGAGGCTGGCTGGTGTTCACTGTATTGGATTCTGGAAACCTGAATATGAATCAGCTCTTATTTGCCTGATAAATGGATTTTAGGTCTCACCAGAGAGGAGAGAGGAAGAGAAAACATTTTGGGTAGAGGAAAGCAGGCAATAGGTATGGCTGAGCACAGGGTAAGTCCTCAGAGCCCAGATCAAGGGTTGAATGTGTGGGAGATTGAAGGAACTGTCTAGAAACCATGTTGGGGGCTGCAGCTGAGGCCCCACATCTCACAGTTCACAAAGTGTGTTGAATCTGATTTTTGCTAACAGCCTTTTGTAAGACTTTTGAGGAACACAGAGGCTCAGAAAGAAGTGGTTTGTCGAGGCCATGTCCAGTCAGCCCACATGCATGAAGACAGTTTCACCAGCATGCATGCAAAAAGCTAGGTGTGGCAGTATGTGCTTGTAATCCCAGTGCTAGGAGGAGGACACGGGACGGTCTGTGGGGCTTCCAGCCAGCACCGCCAATCTGTGAGCTCTAGTTTTAGTGAGAGACCCCATCTCAAAAAAAAAAAAAAAAAAAAAGTGGAATTGGGGAGATGGCTTAGTGAATAAGAATGTTTTTTTGTGCAAGCATAAAGACCTGAGTTCAAATCCCTATCACCATGTAAAAAGATGGGTGTGACCATGCATACCTGTGACCTCAGCACTATTGGGGGCAGAGACAAGAGAATCTTTGGGGCTTGCTGGCCGCCAGCCTAGCTTCAGGGTCAGTGAGAGACTCTGTCTCTAGGGAATAAGGTGGGGAGTGACAGAGCAGGATGTCTGATTTCCTGCCCTGGCCTCCATGGGAGCACCTGCCTAAAACACACACACACACACACACACACACACACACACACCCCACACACACCCACACACACCACACACCACCCACCACACCACCCCACCACACACACACACCACACACACACCACACACACATACACACACACACCACACACACACACACCCCACACACACACCCCCACCCCCCCCCCCCCCCCCCACCCCCACACACACACACCACACACACACCACACACACATACACACACACACCACACACACACACACCCCACACACACACCCCCACCCCCCCCCCCCCCCCCCACCCCCACACACACACACCACACACACACCACACACACATACACACACACACCACACACACACACACCCCACACACACACCCCCACCCCCCCCCCCCCCCCCCACCCCCACACACACACACCACACACACACCACACACACATACACACACACACCACACACACACACACCCCACACACACACCCCCACCCCCCCCCCCCCCCCCCACCCCCACACACACACACCACACACACACCACACACACATACACACACACACCACACACACACACACCCCACACACACACCCCCACCCCCCCCCCCCCCCCCCACCCCCACACACACACACCACACACACACCACACACACATACACACACACACCACACACACACACACCCCACACACACACCCCCACCCCCCCCCCCCCCCCCCACCCCCACACACACACACCACACACACACCACACACACATACACACACACACCACACACACACACACCCCACACACACACCCCCACCCCCCCCCCCCCCCCCCACCCCCACACACACACACCACACACACACCACACACACATACACACACACACCACACACACACACACCCCACACACACACCCCCACCCCCCCCCCCCCCCCCCACCCCCACACACACACACCACACACACACCACACACACATACACACACACACCACACACACACACACCCCACACACACACCCCCACCCCCCCCCCCCCCCCCCACCCCCACACACACACACCACACACACACCACACACACATACACACACACACCACACACACACACACCCCACACACACACCCCCACCCCCCCCCCCCCCCCCCACCCCCACACACACACACCACACACACACCACACACACATACACACACACACCACACACACACACACCCCACACACACACCCCCACCCCCCCCCCCCCCCCCCACCCCCACACACACACACCACACACACACCACACACACATACACACACACACCACACACACACACACCCCACACACACACCCCCACCCCCCCCCCCCCCCCCCACCCCCACACACACACACCACACACACACCACACACACATACACACACACACCACACACACACACACCCCACACACACACCCCCACCCCCCCCCCCCCCCCCCACCCCCACACACACACACCACACACACACCACACACACATACACACACACACCACACACACACACACCCCACACACACACCCCCACCCCCCCCCCCCCCCCCCACCCCCACACACACACACCACACACACACCACACACACATACACACACACACCACACACACACACACCCCACACACACACCCCCACCCCCCCCCCCCCCCCCCACCCCCACACACACACACCACACACACACCACACACACATACACACACACACCACACACACACACACCCCACACACACACCCCCACCCCCCCCCCCCCCCCCCACCCCCACACACACACACCACACACACACCACACACACATACACACACACACCACACACACACACACCCCACACACACACCCCCACCCCCCCCCCCCCCCCCCACCCCCACACACACACACCACACACACACCACACACACATACACACACACACCACACACACACACACCCCACACACACACCCCCACCCCCCCCCCCCCCCCCCACCCCCACACACACACACCACACACACACCACACACACATACACACACACACCACACACACACACACCCCACACACACACCCCCACCCCCCCCCCCCCCCCCCACCCCCACACACACACACCACACACACACCACACACACATACACACACACACCACACACACACACACCCCACACACACACCCCCACCCCCCCCCCCCCCCCCCACCCCCACACACACACACCACACACACACCACACACACATACACACACACACCACACACACACACACCCCACACACACACCCCCACCCCCCCCCCCCCCCCCCACCCCCACACACACACACCACACACACACCACACACACATACACACACACACACACACCACACACACACACACAAGGTGGAGAAGCGGTTGGGGAAGACACCTGACAGTGACCTCTGGTCTCCATACATATGCACTTGCATCCTCCCAAAACAAAACACTTGAAAAAAATTGTGCCTGTATTGAACTTGTCATTGTCTTTATTCCCTAAACAGTATAGCAATTTGCATATCATTTGCATTATGTCAGGTATTGTAAGTCACCCAGAGATGATTTAATATATCTGTGAGGATGTCTGTAAGGTATATGTAAATATCATCTCATCTTATGTAAGGGGCTGAGCAATGGTGGGTCCCATGGGTACTGAGGAGCGGCTGGAGCCAGTTAAGGGATGGGGCATCCCCGAAGGCGGACTCCCAGCTCTCCAGAGTTATGTATTCTCCACTAAGGCATGCTGCTGCCAAACCAGTAGCCCCTCTTCCTGTCCAACCTCAGACTCCATCCTGCAGGATGAGGCTGCACACAGGCAACCTTCTGCAGTTACTGGGATGAGAAGTATATCTGCATGGGGAGCTAGGAGCCTCAGGGTAAGAAAGGGGGCCAGAGGATGAGGGTCAAGAGCCCTGCCTCACAGAGTGTCCACTCAGCAGACAGACATGTCAGAAAATCTTGACTATGGGAAGCACAGGAAGCTCCACCGGTGTAAGAAGGTATCTGTCCCAGGCTGGTGTGCCCAGGAACAGAGGCTCGGCCAGGTCCAGAGAAGGGATGATCACAGCAAAGCAGGGAGAGTGGGGAGAGGTAGACATGGAGCAGTGACAGGACATGCTCAATATCCCTGAGTTTTTCAGAGACCAAAGTGAAGCAGGCTGGAGGCTTCCTCTCCATCCCTCCTTCCCTCCCTCCCTGCCCTTCCTTTCTTCCCTCCTTCCTTCTTTTCCCTTCTCCTTCCTCCCTCCCCTCCCCCTCCCC